GGAAATTAAAAACGTTAGACATATAACCGTAGATTTTCTCATTTTATTGCACACCTTTCTCTTTTTTTTAATCGATCTTTTTTTTCTGGAATATCAGATTTTAAATTCCTCAAAAGCAATTGTTCCCTAGCCTACCAAAGGTAAAACTAGCCCAGTATTCTAGAATTTGTTAAAGGTATCTGTTATCTTAGAATGTTTATTTTTGTCACAATCATTGGAATGTCACGGGACATTAAAAATACCATGTTCAAATTTTATTGAATATTTTTTTTAAAACGTTGCTTTTTCCAAAAGATAGTGGAAAATTTTTTTCTACAATTTTAATTTTGTTGTGATGTTGTTAAGTGTTATTTTCATGATTATTTGTGTGTAGATTGTTTCGTTCTCAATAATAAAATGTGGCTGTTCGCCATTTGCTGTTAAAATTTCAGTTTTTTGTTCTTACCAACAGTGTGGATGACATAAGCCAATAAACCAACAGAAGAAGAAGAACAGTGTGAATGCAAGCTCAGTAGAACAATGGCTTACAGCAGTAGTTTAGGCAAGACATACTACGGAGTAGTATGACATAAGACATATATTATATAAGACATAATACTTAATTGGTACTTACGAACCGCAGAGTGAAAAAGTAACAAATAATTCGTTTTCCTCCATATAGTGTAGCCGTACGTGTGGACACTGAACTTGAGAAAAAAAAATAATATATCATATCTCCTCCAGCACTATCAATTCATGAGATGAGTTCCTTACATGCATTGAATATGCCACGCTTGCTGAGCAAAAGCAAGAGATGTGCGAGTTAGTTAGCCCGAATTTTTTCCCCGTCCAAAGTCGAAAGAAATTGACAGGGGTTATATGGGCTAACTTCTGAGCATCAAAATTGAAAATTCTCTGATCGGGCTGAATTTCAGGCGGTCCCCTGTGAATTGACTCGAGGAGTCGAATTTTCTGGTCTAAAAAGCTCCACAAGCCCGCCGATTTGCGCTACAGCTAGGTACCGCGTGTCAAAAAATCATCAACAATTTGATCAATTGGTGCTTCACTTCCATGACAACCTCCCCTCAGTCTTTTCATTCATGGTTGCTAAGATTCTCTTCCCCGATCGCGGATAGCGTGGTATGCCGCAAAAATTCGATCGCGGATAAGTGAATCCGCGGATGGCGGGGTCGCGGATACCGGAGTATTACACTATGTCTTTTTTACCATCTGGTATGTCTTCAATGGAGATGTTGCATGTGTGAGGAATTTGCGATTTGACCATTGAGTCTTATGAAAAAGTTTGCGAGAAACACGATGGTGCCACTGGTTTTCCCTGATTTCAACTCCTAAGCTCAAAAAAGGGTGAGTCCGGATTCCGTCCCAAAGACTCCGAACTGCGTCCCAGATCGCGTCCATTTAATTCTTAAGAAAAAAGGTGTGAATGACAACATTGCTCACCATCATATTGATACCAATGTCCGGAAAGGAGAATGAAGTAAATAGGAATAGAGCGGTGAATGGTAGGGTTGTTTGAAATGAAGTTCCCACATTACGAAAACCGTTTGGCGAATGGAGATCAGGAGAGGCTCGTCATAAACTTTAAAACAAATAATCCAGGGTGTAAAGGGCCCTTTCGTCACGGTAGTTTCACTTAAAAATTACTTTTTTACTGGCCAAAAATGTCTACTGCTGCCCCTTTTTTTACAGAGTTGCTGACTTTTTGTCTTGTCAAATCGTTATCGTCAACTTTTTTGTGATTTCGTTTCGTATGAGATTCAATAATTTCGCCATCGATACTAACTTTTAAAAAAACACCGGCAATTTTTCACTGAACATGCTCGATCATCATCGATTGACATCGCCTTTCATATGCGGTGTTGCCACCTTCCCAATATATGCGCCGGGCGCAATTCGGATAGAGCTCGGGACGCTATTCGGAATTGCCAGGGACGCAATTCGGATACAGCCCTCAAAAAAAGCTCTCAAAGTTGAGGGCGTAACGGAGGGAATATCCCACACTATCCTGAAAAATCGAGGATAATAGCTCACATCCTAGCGATTTTATCGCCGATAAAATTACAATATATTCCGATTTTTCCGTTGAAAAATGCTACTTGGAGACCAAGAGAAGTCAGGAAATTTTTCTAGGTGCGTTTAGCAGTAGTGAGAGTAATTTAAAGAGGAAAAAATCAAAGTGGAAGGTTAATTCAAAAGTCAGAGAATCCAAAAATTTTGGAGTCAGGGAAAAGCAAAAATGGTCAGGGATTTTGAAGATGAAAAAATTATGGCAACCCTGAATGGATTTTAGGGTCAAAGTCGGAGATTCTCCGATCGGGCTGATCATAAGATATTCTCCTGTAAAATGGCCTGAGGAGTCCGTTTTTCTTGCCTGAATAGTTCCACGAGTCCGCTGGTTCGCGCAATCAGCGAGAAGGTGAATTTGCGGCGAATTTGTCAAAAATGGTCTGAAACGCTCGTTCCTCAGCTCAGGAAGCCCTCGAAGAGCTTCGGGGCCGTGCGAAACTGGTGCCATTAATATTTTCGTTTTTATGAAATCACCCTCGTGCGCCTGGGTGCGCCATGCGCCAGATTTAAGCTTAGTGTTAAAGCACTTACCCAAGAAGTCAGCACTGAGGTAAGAGGCACTGACGTCGGGAGGAAGACTTACCTAAGTGCAGAGATATCTCTGAGGTAAGCGGGACTGGTTCAGAGGGTAAGTCTCTGACATCAGTCTTAATCGAACCGCACTCACTCCCAAAAAGTAGAAATGGCTCCCTCTTCCCCCACCCTATTTCATTTTCGTGGGGGGAATATTCCTCGGGATACGGGGACCACAAACTTTATCTTACAGAGAGGCATATTTTTTAGGAGGGGGGATTTTCTAAGAGGGAAGGAAAACTTGTTTAGGTAGCCACACTCTTGAATCATTTGTTTTACCTTCTTCGTTTATGATGGCACTTAAATAATTAAAACACAAAAAAATGAGATCGGTAAAAATATTATCATCGCGTATTTAGATGTAATTATTTAAGCATTATTATTTTTTTAACTTAAGAGTTTTAAAAAAAAATTAAATTTGGTTTTAATTTTTTTCAGTTTTAACTCTTTTTAAAATGTTCCAGTCTTAATTTTTTTAAAATTTTCCTAATTTCTTTTTAATTCTTTTCCAACTTTTTTACTCCTTTAAGTACTTTCAATTTTTGTATCTGCTAATTTATATTTTTTGTATCATTTCAATTTTAATTATTTTTTTTACATCCTTAGGTATAAGTCTGGATTTTAATGCATTCTATTTTTTTTTTCAAAGAAACATAACATACAGGGTTATCCAAAAGTCACTGACCACCCCTGTAACTTTTTTCACATTGAGATAGAAGTTTGAAACTTCGGGAATGTTCCTCGGTCTAAGATAGCAACTTTTTGGTCCCCCCAAAATTTTCTGGGGCGGCCCGGGGCGGGGGCTAACTTTTTTTTTTCAAATGGCAACCCCCCCTTTGTGATACTTCATTCGAAAGATAATAAAAAAAGAAAATTTTTGGCGCAAACCGCAGGTCAAAATGTTCATTTTTGACAAAATGGCGGCCGGTCGAAGTTCAAAATGGCGGATTTGGCATCTCCGTTGTTTATTGACGGATTGGTGTGAAACTCGGAATCCTAGGGTTTTTTGAGATGAGAAAAACGATTCTGGCATTGGTTTTCCAGAAAAGTCAGTCCTTTTCAAAATGGCGGCGGTCAAAATGGCGGCCTAGAGCGGGAAGTGGATATTTAGGCTGCATATCGTTGGATTTGCAGGAAACTTGGTTTTTGGGGGTGTTTCGGCACGAGAAGAACGACTCTTTCATTGGATATCGGAAATTTTGACAAATTCCAAAATGGCGGCGGAAAAATTGCGGGAAATCAGTTTTACGGCTGTTTACCGATGGATTTGCATGAAATTCGATATCCTGGCGGTTTTTGGCTGGATTAAAAGGAATTTTTCATTAGATTCTTGAAATATCAAATAATTTCATGCTAATCCATCCGTAAAGAGCCGTAAAACTGATTTCCCGCAATTTTTCCGCCGCCATTTTGGAATTTGTCAAAATTTCAGATATCCAATGAAAGAGTCGTTCTTCTCGTGCCGAAACACCCCCAGAAACCAAGTTTCCTGCAAATCCAACGATATGCAGCCTAAATATCCACTTCCCGCTCTAAGCCGCCGTTTTGATCGCCACCATTTTGAAAAGGACTGACTTTTCTGGAAAACCAAAGCCAGAATCGTTTTTCTCATCTCAAAAAACCCTAGGATTCCGAGTTTCACACCAATCCGTCAATAAACAACGGAGATGCCAAATTTCCGCCATTTTGAACTTCGACCGGCCGCCATTTTGTCGAAAATGAACATTTTGACCTGCGGTTTGCGCCAAAAATTTTCTTTTTTTATTATCTTTCGAATGAAGTATCACAAAGGGGGGGGGTTGCCATTTGAAAAAAAAAAGTTAGCCCCCGCCCCCCTTAAGGGGGGCCGCCCCAGAAAATTTTGGGGAGACCAAAAAGTTGCTATCTTGGACCGAGGAACATTCCCAAAGTTTCAAACTTCTATCTCAATTTGGAAAAAAGTTACAGGGGTGGTCAGTGACTTTTGGATAGCCCTGTATAAAACTTCATTTACATGTTGATTGATTAAAATAGAATAATAAAAAAATTAAGTATCGGATTCAAATTCAGAGACAAAATCATCATTTGCTGGCAAAATTACTCCAATGGGGGCCCTGAAACGGCATAATTACGCCCCTGGCACCGTGAGGTCTCGCGAGGGAGTCAGCGCGGTGTCATCCGACGACTAATACTCGATGAGTGATATTTTGAAATTCGTAATTCCTTTATTTGCAAAACTGGTGACTTTTTTGAGGACCTCAGCGTGCGAGGCGTTGATTCATCTGTTGACAGAGCCAAGGTGCGCTATCGTGCCGATTTACTCGGACCCGAAAACACGGAAGTTCAATTAAGATAAGGCCCAGATTCCCGCTCCAAGCTGAAGAGGTACGCGCTGAAATGCTCCAGTCCCCTTCTTTCGGTGTTTCCCTGCAAAATCTGCGGACTAGTCCTAAACCGCCTTCCGATTCCATTTTTTTAAAATTCGCTTCCCCTCGAGAAAAAAGAAATTCTCATACTTGGAATCTTTTTTTTAAAAAATTTCTGTGCGATTCTCGGTTACTGAAAAGAAAAAAGAAGTTGTGCAGTCAAAATGCGGTTCGTGCTGATGAGTTTTTTTAATTTTTGCTTTTTCTTTGTTTTCTGCAACGGTGGCCAAAAAATTTTGGCGACGAATCCTAACTGGTGGAAATCGACGATTTTCTACCAGATCATCGTGCCGTCTTTCAGGGACTCCAACAACGATGGAATCGGGGATTTTAAGGGTAAGACGAAGTTTACAAACCTAATACGTACCTTACGTATGAATATTACAGCTACAGCATAGGGAGTTGCCTCAATATTGCCGCGCTACCTTCCCTATACTGTCACGATATTGTCAAAAACGCAATATTCCTTTGGATTTAGTCCATATCTCGGCACCTTCCGGTCTAAGTATCACAAGCGCCATGCGACATTTCAAAATTCCCGCCGCAATTTTATTCTTTTACAGAGAAATTGTTGGTCGACTTGGTTTAAAAATTTCACTGAATTTTATCGGCAGCGCAAAGAAAATTCAGTGAAATTTTCGGACGTGCTTCGTTGAACAATTGCTCTGTAAAAAAATAAAATTGCGGCGGAAATTTTTAAACGTCGCATGGCGCTTGTGATACTTTGGCCGGGAGGAGACGATCTGCGGACTGATTATTGAAATTGATAGACAAAGAAGACATGGGGGGTATGGAGCGATCCTATCGGTTGAAATGTGTGGTTCTTATAGACTAAGGGAGAAAATGATAGACTAACTGTCGGGTTTCTCGTGGGTTGCCGTTAGTTAGTCTATTCCTACTGCCTTTGTCCATTGTAGGTAACCACCAGCTTCCACCAATAGGTTCCCTCCATATCGCTTTTGTCATCTTTGTCTATAGCTTTGTCTATCAATTTCAATAATCCGGCCCACAGGTGTTCGTAGCGTGGCAGAACGGGACCAACTTTTTCCGTACGTACAGAAATGACATAACTGCTATCAATTGATTTTCAGATACAGATTGGGGCTTTCGAAAATAAGCCCGCACCCATGGTCAATTGGATGGTGCGCGGCCATAAACTGGACATCGCAATTCTTCGACTTTTTTTTTAAACAAAAAACAAAAAAAAACGCCTGTTTTAATATTCAAAGAAGTAGAAAAATAAAAAATAGAAAAATGTAATATTTTTCTAAAAAATCAAAAAAATCGAGGAAGACGTACCTACATTTTACACGCACGCTTCGATGGCCAAAGCAGTGCCCTGGTAAAAACTGGTGGTAGAATCTGTGTTCCAAAATACCATAGACCTGCAGCCGGCTGTAAGATTTCCAATAGCTTCTATAGCCGGCAACACAATTTCCTATAGCATTTTATAGCCGATGACGATTAAGCAACAGCCTGTGTATACTAAACGTTACTAATTACGGATGCTAGTGACTTTTTGGACTACTGCTCTCTTTTTGGGCCGTAGTATCTTGATTTATTTTGCCAGGAAAGCTCCGTACTTTTGATGGATGCCTGCCAGTCCTAATATATTAGAGCGCCTTCAGTTTCGTATGATACTGTGCAATACCTCTGGTGTGAAATAGTTGCTTCAAGCGCCGTGGCACGCTGCGGTGCGGCAGGCGGGCAGCCAGCGCGAAACGCGCATTGGCGCCTACAAACCTAACAGGGATACTTCACGCGTTGCGCAATGCGTGAAGTATCCCTGTTAGGTTTGTAGGCGCCAGTGCGCCGCCGCTCCGCTTTGTGTTAGGCTGTAATATTTAATCTGGCGGAGTCAGCGTTATTCAACTCATGATTTTAAAAAGTTTGCACATCCTGCATGGATTATTCTCATTTTAATTGATGAAAAAAACATGTTTTAAAGGAAAATATAATGTGTGTTTTGTAAATATCAAGGTGGTTCCGTATCAAACTTAATGATTTCCAAAGCACACGAATTTCTACACAATTTCTTATAGCCTTTTATAATCGATGGCGAAAAAGCAACAGCCAGGCGATAAAGTGTAAAGCCCAGCGATAGGAACTATAGCCCGACTGCATAATTTTTTATCGCTTCGTATACAGCCCGGCCGTATGATTTTCTCCGCATTCTACAGCCAGCTATATGATTTTCTGCAGCCTTCTTCAGCCGGCTATAAGAAGTCCTATGGTATTTTGAGACGCAGCTCTTGTCGCCGATTTTTACCAGGGTGGCGTGGCGTGAATTGCATAGGTATATCGATTGTTATGCCATTTAGACCTATGGAAAAGGATCGATAAACAGGGTGTTCGCAGAGAACACCTTAATGATCGATTCTTTACCATAGGTTTCAATGGCATAACAATCGATACGTCGCAAACGACCAAAGTGCAAAACCACGTATCTCCGCTTGCGACGACTGAGACTTCCTGGCATACATTACGTTTTCTTTGGAAAACTAGTCAACGCACGGTCGTGAAAACTTCCTCGATTTTTCTTCTCTGTCAGCTGAATGTTCTGTATGTATTTCAAGCTGTTAAGCTGGCTTGTTTCTCTTCGAAAAAATAAACTTGGAGCGGAAATTTGAAAACCACGCAATGAAGACATAAGGGGTTCCGCACTTTGGACATCGACGTGCTTTGTTTTCATCTATTTTTCCTTTGTCTTTTGACAAAGGAAAATAGGCCGTCAGTGCCACTAGGGAAGATTGACAGAAGAAATTTGCTTTGAGAAAATGCACCCTTGTTTGTTTCAGGAGCGAAACAGGGTCTAAGCTACCTGAAGGACTTGGGGGTGGGCACCGTTTGGCTGAGCTCCTTCCACAAGTCAACGCCACCGCTTACCGACTTCGCTGTCATCGATTTCAAGAGCGTTCATCCTCAGTTCGGAACGCTGGCCGATTTTCAAGACTTCATCGCTGAAGCCAAAAGCCTTGGTAACAATTACTGCCATTATTTCCCTATATCCTTCCTCTCACATGCCCAAGTAGCACAGATTAGCAATACATTCAAATCCACAGGAAAATCATTGCTACTGCTTCGGAGTGATGTGAGTGTTGCCTATCTACAGATTGAAGGGGCATTTATTATTGAAATGAATTGCAATGAAAAAATAAGTTCGAAATTTTGCATTGAAAATCGTCTGTATTTCTGATAGGTGCATGTAATTAATCTTATTGATTGTTTATAAATGACAATCATAGACCAAATGATAAAAAATATTGCAATTTTATTTCAGCATTTTCATTACGCCGTGCTACTTGGGCTGTTAGTCTTGCACGTGTAGGGGGAGACCGTGAAAACTGAAGAAAGACAGGGAATCATAAACATCCAGGAAAATCGGGGAAAAGTCAAGATTCTGACCGTTGTCAAATAATTTTCCGGTACATCAGAGTGTGTCCAAGGAAAGTGGGCCCACACGGCAATTTTACAATTAATAAATGTTAAAATTATTCTGACTAGATCAGAGTTCAGTGCAAGTTTTCCATCTAATTATTGAAGCAGGGTCGGATTTAGGAGGTGGCCACATGGGCCGCGGACCATGGAGGCAAATTTTGCAATTTTTTTAAATGTAGGTGTCAAAAAAAAAAAAAAAAAAAAAAAAAAAAAAAAAAAAAAAAAAAAAAAAAAAAAAAAAAANAAAAAAAAAAAAAAAAAAAAAATCGGATTCAGAAAAAAAATTACAAACGAGAAAAGGCGACAAAATTTCTCATTCCCTAAGAGTATAGTAATTTCTAATTTTGTCGTCTTTCGGTGATACAAGAAACAGCACCTTTAATTATTCAAGTTAAGAGAGAGACCAACCACGCAATTAGGCCTGGAGCGGCGCGGGGCAGAGAGCAATGATGACGAGGACTTGAGATGAAAAGGAGAAGCCCTCGGTGCGGCGGTTGGCATGTAACACATATTAGCGCCGACAAGACTGCATGAATACTTCACGCATTGCGTCAAACATAGTGCCGTCAGCAGCGGTAGGCGTGAAACGCATAGCGCCTACAAGACTGCACGAATACTTCACGCATTGCGTTAAATACAGTGCGGTCAGCGTGAAACGCATAGCGCCTACAAGGCTGCAAGAATACTTCACGCATTGCGCCAAACACAGCGCGGTGCGGCGGCGAAAGTTAAAATTATTAAACCACATTTATGTTTGTCCCTTCATAATTTTTTCGTTCATTTCTTGAATGGAGGGCCTTGACCATACAGAGATAGGTTTACGGAACTTAACTTTCGTGCAAAGTTCCGTGAAATTTTGCTAGTAGTGTTGAGTGTTGACAAGGCTTTCGCAAAAAATATGTCCGACACGAGTAAACGCGTCTTATGCACCCCTCCCTCTCCTGCACGTTCTCTTAATGGTTTTTATTGATGTTTCAAAATGAATGAAAAGAGGGCAGCAAAATGCCGGCGGCCCATGGGCGGCAAGTAGGTAAACCCGGCCCTGTATTAAAGTAACTTCTTTGATTTAAATTGGAATATCATCGTGAAATTGAAATGGATTGTATTTTGCAAAAAGGAGCTAAGAGCATATCAATTTGTTGCTAGGATTGTGCAACTTACATTCTTTGCAATAAATTACTGAAATCATGCAGCATATTAAATTTACAGAGGTAATTTTCGTCTTGAATTCATAGTTCAAAGATACAACTGATTTAGATAATCTGTTTATATTTGCAAGGTAAAAAAAGTTGCACAATCTTGGCGACATTTGAATGCTCTTGGTTCCTTGGTTGCAATCCAAATAAGATGCATTTTATTTTAATTTCCATAGTGCAAGTTTCCTATCTTCTGGGACATGGGACTCTAACCAATGATGGTTGAAAGTTTCGACAGCACCCCTTCATAGCCTCGCTCGTCATCAGTTCTGCCGTGCCAAGGAAAAACGCCGTATGAACCTTCAGCCGTTGCCAACTTTCCTTTGATAAAACACAAATTTCTTGGTAAACTTATGTACATTTTCCTTCCAATTTTTCAGATAATTTTGTTCGCAGTTTCACCTAAAGTCTCGGAAAATTTCAAGGAAAAATGATCATAATTTTCCTCTGAAATAAATATTTTATCGAAGAAAATTTGGCAACCCTGGAATGTTCATACGCCGTTCTACCTTAGCACGGCAGTTTCCCATCGCGTTGTGAGCTGTGAAAGCTAGAAAAGCTAAAACCCCTTCATTTTTATACGTAGGCAACAATGACGTTGAGCAGGAATAGTTGCACTGCAACCAGCCACTACGTCACGTTGTGCGCGATATGGGGAAATATCCTCTTGCAAAATGATCCTTATCAGACCTATGGATACGACTATTTCGACTCGGATGTATTGCTGTTTGCTTCGAGGCTCTTTGCAGGCAATTTAAAGAGCCATTCACCGACGAATTCGCGAATGAAAGAGCGATGATCGTAATTGGGTGAAGCTTTCTAGCCCCTCAGTTCACAGTGCTATTTGAGAAATTTTTGGTTTTTTGACAGCATTTTCTGGGTTTTTTCTCAGGTATGAATGTCATTATGGATTTTATACCTAATCACTCCGGCACCTCACATGATTGGTTTGTGAAATCTGTCAGGAAACAAGCACCTTACACTGATTACTACATTTGGAAGCCCTCCCTTTCGAACAATGTATCAGCACCTGTGCCACCTTGTAAGTGGGTAAGTGTTCAAAAACTTTGACTAAGATTAACAAAATAAAACTTCTTAAGGGCCAAAATGAGAGAACACTGATTATGTGGGCAGAATACTGCAACTAATGTTATGCTTTATTATGCCTCATGTATGAAGCCTTCGAGTAGCTCAGAATCAAGTTAAAAAGGAATTTTGAAACATTACAATCAAGATGCAGCATTTTCTAGTTTACCATCACAATAATAAATGAACCCACTCGGCAGCAGGGAACCAACGAGATAACAATGATTTCAAAATCTTGCAACTTATTTTCCTTAATAATAATACTAAATGCATGTACAGTAATACAATTTACACGATTGTCTTCCTTCAAGATTAATAATTAATTTCCTGTAGAGAAAAAGATATATCCTTGCTATTCTAGGCATATATGATTTTTATAACATTGTAAACGCATTGGTTTTCTTCTACAAAATCCGATCCAAATATGCTACATTTAAAGAAAAAGTACACAATATCATTCATTCTTTTCAACTGAATCAATGTCGATTTTCATAATCTAAGACTAAGTTGAAAATTAACACTTGCAAACATTGTTGACGTTGTCAATTGCACTGTCTCAGTATTTCTCACTTAAATTTCATTAATTAATAGGAGGGATATCTCATGGTTTTTCCTGGAATTCATGGTGATTTTTCTTTGACCTTGTGAGAAAAAACTCTGAACTTTTTATACTGATTTGTGCAATAGTTCTCCCATGAAAAATTAAATTGTTCATAGAAATACTGAAATAGCAAAGACAGCATACATAGGCTCCTTCATGCAAGAGACAATATATTGTATCATTGAATACTTGGTGGAATAATGTCATCAGACATTGATAATCCGAATCGACTTGCTCTGGCAAAGACGCTAATGCGAAGCATTTTAATCTATATCGAGACTGACTGATAAGAAAGGAGAGTCTGAAGAACCTTTCGGATGAGTTATCAGTTTTATTCATTAGGCAGAGAGAAATTGTCAAGTGGATGAGAGTTGACATCATATGATGGCCTCTAACATCTCTGATAATGTTTTATTAGTAGCATCTAGATTGGACTGAATTGAACAGGAAGGGACCAAGTTACATTTTGTAAAAAGAAAAAAAATGCATTGGGAGTGGGTACCTAAATTTGAACTTAACGAGCAAGACATTTCCTCCTGTCTAACAGTCAAAATGGAGAGAAAATACTTCTAATGCAAAAATAAGTGTTTAAAACTTAAACTTAAACTCTAACATTAGTCTTATAGGGGACTTGTAAGCCATTCTTTCTTCCTTTCACTTTGATGTACTTTGGTTCCTTTCTGTTAAAGTCTAATTCTTTTTCTTGAGAAAATACTTTTTGACTCAGGTTTCTTTAAGACCCCTCTGAACATTTGAAGGCAAGAATTAGAATGTTGAATAATTGAACAAATTTTGCAGCAATCTGCTTTAGGAGAGCCAGCATGGTCTTGGAACGAGCAGAGAGGTGAATACTACTACCATGCATATCACAAAGAAACCGCAGATTTGAATCTTAGAAACAATGATGTAAAGAAAGAACTGAAGGTAAGTGGATTGCTTGTCAAAACTTTTTTTTATTTCTAGTTCATGTTGCCAACAAATCATGAACAAATATTATTTTAGATTGTTTATAACATATTATGATTATATAACATATATTGATTATAACATATTATTTTAGATTGTTTATTATGTATTATTATTATTTTTTTTTTATTTTTTTATTATTATTATTATTATTATTATTATTATTTTTTAACTTGGAAGAGGGAACACTTCCGGTACAAGTATTACTGACAGGCCACCGGCCAAAGTCAGTAACACATACAATCTTGCTCGAATAAAGTGAATGTTATTTTAAAGTAAATTTTAAAAAAAATATATTATTATTATTATATTATTATTATTTCAATTGTTATCAGATTTCTTAATTGCATCATCAGTCATGAAAAGTTTATGTGGGCTTAAAATTATTTTTTCCCCAGACAACTTTGAAATTATTCTCTCTTGAATCTCCCCAAAAAATAAAATGTGAGCCCTGAAAATCTAAAAATAGTACATTTTCTTCGGAAAATACACTCAAAAAGGGTGCAAAAAAGCCTAATCAATGACTTAAACCCCTTAAAAATCTAGAACCAAAGAGGGATTAGACAAAAATATCAACAATTACAGCTGATTGTGTTTTTTTTTTTCCCAGGATATTCTTCAGTTCTGGATGTCTTTGGGTGTCAAAGGTTTTGTGATTGAGACAGTTTCATATCTTTTTGAAGATGAGAAATGCTTGGATGACACAGCCGCTGATAAGAAGCAGTCTTCCACACTTAACCAAAAGGAAAATTTGCCACTATTAAAAGAATGGCGCAAATTTATTGATGAGTATCTTTCAAAAGATCCGAAAACACCTGGGTACATACTGATGTTTTTGCAAGGAATTATGTTAAATAATAAGTTATAACAATTTTAAATAGAATTATTATGTCTGAGGAAATGTATTAAAAAGAAAGATGAGACAATCCGGGCAAAATTCCACAGATATCAAGTGAATGATTAAAAAACAAAAACCTTAAAGGCGGGGTAACATTACTGAGAGGAAGATCTTTTCACCAGTGTACTGAGAAACAGATTTTGCTTATATCACAATCTGTCTAGTAAAAACTAATGACGTTTTGTCTGGCAAAATCTACAAAAACAAAACGCTGTCATTATTATTTACATAACAGATTTTGATTTAATAAAACGTTTTTCTCGTTTTACACAAATATTCATTCAGACAAGGTTTCCTCAAATATTTATTAGGATAATACTTAACCGGCTTTGAAAGAGACATTAATTCTTACGGCACTAAAAGCCAAATTTGTACCACCACGTTGTCTCAAAGCCACACAACCCTCTCAATGAAGATGAATAGTACTTTGAATTTTAGACACAATTGATTCTAATTATCCTCTTCACAGTAAGAATGTTTGACGATTTTTTATAAAATTAAAACACCTGTTCTTTTTTTATTAGGTTTTTGATGGTGCGAGTTGAGCCCTTCGAAGAAATAGATGCTGATTATTATGGAGATGAAAAAGAACCAGGGGCTCACATTGTATCGAACCCTGCACTGTTGAAGAAAACAGAAACGATTAATTCAGCGGAGTTGGATATAACCATTGGTAAAGCATTAAAGCAGATGCTCTTGAAGGCCCCTCCGCTTTGGGTCAATTGGGCTGTAAGTATAAACCAAACTTTATTTATTTTTAGTGTTTTTTATGCATTGTCATTTTTTTAAAAATACTACACGAAAGCACTGCAGGGGCAATTGGACGTATTTCTATCAAACAGAACTAAGCACCATAGGGGGAGGAAGGAAGAAGGGGGGCTTGGATTGGCGGGTGTTGCGGAACGCGATGCTTGTTCCGTCCTATACCTACTCGCAATGCTTTTCCATGGCGCTTAGTTCCATTTGACAGAACGCGCGATTCAGGATTCTAAAATCCTCAAAAGGAACTCAATTTGGCGCTTAGTTCCGTTTAACAGAAATACGTCCGATTGATAGCTTAACAGCGCATTTGTTTCTCACTGTAATGACATTAATAACTTTTTTCACTATAAGTGTGAAGATCCCTGGAATTACTTTCAGGCGAAATCGTTTTCTCAGTGACAAAGTTTGACCAAGTCGTTTTTACAACAAATTATCCATTTGCTTGGCATATTGGTACATTTTGGTATACTTTCAGGTTGGAGGATCACGCATAACTCGAGTTGCTAACCGGCTGGGAAAAGAGCTAATCGATGGGGCAAATATGTTGATGCTCATGCTACCTGGTACACCAATAACTTATTACGGCGAGGAGATCGGAATGGAGGCATTTCATAAAATACCCACTGCTTACACAGCCATTGATTCGTATGCTAGAGACAGAACACCATTCCAGTGGTGTGATCATCCCAATGCAGGTTAGATGGATGACAGATTTATGAAAGGAAATTATGCTGCACAAATTTAAATTCGAGGGGAATGAAGGGACAACATTGCTATGCTTCAACTAGAAGCAGTTTTGTAGTGCCATTGATCAACAGCAGCCAGTAACATTTTCAAGCCGCCTGTTTGCATGATGGCGTAAATACCCTTTCGGATAATATATAGGAACTGCAGATAACAGTGTTAAGTACCTCAAATCTTTAGATAAAAATAAGATATTAGTCAGTTTGAGTAGAATCAGTTTCCTGGTATATATGTACTTGGCAACAAATTTAAACGCCAGAGCTTATTTTTTAACTTCAATAATCAAATTTTAATTTCATTTGTGTCATATTGATGGCCAAAGTCGCAAAATGCCTACCTCAAATTGCGGCATTGTAAATTTTCCCCGGTATTTTACTCTTCAAAGAAAAACCAACCAACAGTTTCCATCAAATTTTCTGTGAATTTTCCTCTCTCACTCTAAAAAAACCACAACAAATTGAAAAGCACATTTTGATTAGTTTCCTTTGAAGAATATTAAACGTAATTGGCAATTTTCAAATGTTACAATTAAGATTTGCATTTTTCTCATTATGCCATCGGTATTCAGCTCGTAATTTTTCAGCTTAGAATGCATTTTTCACGAGCTAGCACAAATGTCACTGTATTCCCTCATCCATGATATCCTTTCATTTAGATCTCTTGTCATTTTAATGTGACCATGGGCGCGAAAGAAGCCCTTCTATCAGAAACCTAAAAGAGGATTACAGTGCCACTGCTTGGAGGGTTATCGCAAAAAACACCCAAAAAGTCGAACCAAACGAAAGTTTTGATAGTTCGGAACTTGCGGTTAAAGTCTTTGAAAAAAAAAGACAAGCATTAACTTCCTGTCTCACAACGATCTTTTTTTTAAAGGGGGGGGGGGATAACTTTGAAAATTTTCTACCGAAAACTTTCAGATTTTTTGATCCAACTTATAAAATTTGCCTTTGTGCACTATGGATCATTTTATTACAGACATTAATTTGTTTATTACTTTCCTAATTATTGGAAGTTTGGCATTCCTTTCATGGCCTTTCTTCCAAAAACGAAAACTTACTACTGCTCTGTCTATTTCCTCGTATTTTGTGAGTTCAGAGCTCTTCCTTTACAAAATTTGCTTTCCTTTAAATTTTAAAACTTATCATGAAAAGTGGTATGCACTTCATTTAAAAATTTCATCATTCTGTCTTTAAATTCATGATTGTTAAAACAGGATTTACAGAATCGCACGCGACAGACACATATCTTCCAGTCAACTCAAACTACTTCCGCATTAATGTTGAGAGTGAGAAGGAGGACACTAAGAGTCACTTGAATAACTACAAGCGAGTAGCTAAACTGCGAAACCAACCAGAAATGCTCACTGCTGATGTATCAACATTTCTTATGAATGCCAATGTTTATGCCTTGGTCAGGTAAATATTGACAAATTTTAAATCCATTCTTCAAATCGCACCCAGATGGGAACCTTATAGAAGTATCAAGGACAGATTCAAGAATGTAAAAATGGGCTCTTCCAAGGGAAGCTGGACTTAAAAGTGAATTCTGCGGCATATGTACATGCATTTCCTGGTATAATTTTTGCAACACCAGATAGCGATCAAGAAAAGATAATCTTTTCTCGCCAGCTGAGAAGAAGAACTACTTTTGAGCGAAGCTGTATACATGCAACACAACGGCAGTGCCGCAGCTTAATGCAAAAGTTTGGGTAAAAATGGCAAAAAATTTACTTTCCAGCCATGTTTTAATCGATTTTGGCACATAAGTCATTAAAGGTTCCCTTCTGAAAGTTCATCATGCTCAGGAGGTTGGGATGAAATCAAATAATAAGAAAAATTTGCAAATGTTAAATCTCAATGTTTTATGTGCGGGGTCCTTTGTTGGGAAAAGAATCGCAGATCCTGGGACAAAGAAATTTTCTCCTCAGCATCTTCTGAGAAAGTACAGCTCTCTCAGTGAAGGTATAGTAAATATCTGTTGGCACGCAGTGGACAGAAGGGCAAATCAGAGCTTTCATTGCACTTTTTCGAGAGAGGAAAAGTAACATCAAGCTTAAATACGACTGCTGCCCTTCTTTCTTTTTTTTCTGAACTTCAAGAGAATAGCTATGTTGAATTAGAAAATTAAACTAAGTTGGGAGGAAGCTGTAAAAGAGGAATTACAGACAACTTCATGAGAGAGACATCTAGCAATGAATTTTTAACATTCACTGGCAAAGTCTAACTAATCAGCCATAAAATTCTATGTTCCAGGGAAACCTCAACAGATAAAAAATACATTGTGCTTGTTAATTTCGCTGAAAATTCACCCTGCATTAATTTTAAGCAGAACATCCTTGACATAAAGGACCCGTACTTGTTTGTCCATTCTGCAAGTGAAAATTCTGAGTACAATATAAAGTAAGTATTGTCGAGAGACTTTTTCCTGAGTTTAAAATACATTACTGATGAAATCTACCAATAAGGAGATATTTCAGCGACAAAGATAGGGGGATAGAAAAGCTTAAGCAAACAGGTTGTTGCTGAAAATGGTTTCTATCATCTTGATCTGGTGAATGGTTCTAGTCGAACAACTGGTGAAAGTAGTATTCATCACTAATAATTTAAACCAAGGTTAAAGAAACTATGATATCAGTTACTCTTTGGCCGAAAAATTTTAGAGCATGGGATACAAGATTCTGCCGCCATAGGTGTAAATGTCACTGCAAGTTTGCAATGTTTGCATACGCTTCCAAAACTTTCAAATGTTAATACTATGAGAATATTCTAATTTTTCATTGTGTCAATTTTCTTAGGAAAAATCTAAGTGAAGTTTGAGTCTACAACTGAGTTGTATTCATGTCCGAGTTAAATAGTTTAATGCCATCACAGGATCCATGGTATTTTCCGAATTCCAAAATTCTTTCATGGCAATGGCATTGCAATTGATGATAAAGTAACTTATCTTCAAAGTAACTCTTCATCTTGAAAGTAACTTTGAAGTGGTTACATTATAATGTCAGGAGCCAGGTCACTACTCAATTTTTTTTTCGTTTTTTGTAGCTGATAATGAGCTGGTAATGGCTTGAAACATTCTGCCTCTTCAGTGTCCTAATATTTTTCAGCCTTGTTTACGCATATTTCAATTTCTTTCTATTGTATTCATATTTTTGAGTTGCGTTATCAAGTGCTTTATCGTACCTTTATACTAAAGAGAGAATTTGTTTCTTTTCCAGTGAAAGAGTAAACATTGACAACTGCTTCATGATGCGGCCGAAATCGTCTCTACTCTTGACCACATCCAGCAGCAGCATTCTTAGGATAACGCTGGGTATTTTAATGCTTCCTATCTACCTGAGTTGCCGTGCTGCATGAACTGATCATCCTTGAAATTAGAGAGCTCTGTTGTCTGTCCATCCATGTCTTCTATGGATATTGCCAAGCAGAGAATCTCCAGCTGGGACAACACATTCTGGTACAATGAATACTTCAAAAATGAATTGAGATTTAAAGACAAGATCTGGGAAAGGCTTTATGACAGCGAAAATGACTGCCTTAATTATTACAAGGATTTTCAATGATAAATTGAAGCCTGAAAACAGCAACTCTTTAAAGGTTAGATGAAGACTAGGAGATTAACGTTTTTTCTCAATTTCTGTTCATTCTAAATTTCTTAAGCAGTTAAGCAGTTAAGTTTTCTTATTATTAAGAAAACATCACCTGAGTAGAATTATTTTCGTGCACCTTCTGTTTCATTTCGTTTTTATCTACTTGTTTATATCTTATTGTTTGTAACTTTGTCAACTAAAATTCAGTTTTCGTCTTGTATTTTTAAAGTATTAGACTAACTGAAGTTGTAATTTCAAAGAAATAAAATTACATTTTTTAAGGTTTTGAGTTTTTTTCTATTGCCACTGTGTACTCTCATTTTTAAAACAAAAGATCCTGTCAAACGTTGACAAAAATGAAGTTTTGGTATGCTTCAACAAAAATGTATATTATAGTTATGTCATCCAGTTCATATGATCCAATTTCCTGATTGTATAGAATGGATATTAGTTTCTTTGGATCCCACAAGAATACAAAAGAGGAGCAAATTTAGATTTTTTGAGGAGCCAAGATAAAACAATGAAATTGTATAATATCTGTGAAGTACTGGAACCATAGTGCAAATTCTTGACGAAAAAAACCTTTGTGTGAGTCATTTCTGAGATATCTTTTTAATTTCAGTTTTTTGCAACTTCATTAATATCCAAATAGGCAAATGTCCTTTACTTCGGCCTCTATCAGCTCATTTGGTCTAAATATTTCTAAAACAGAATCAGGGCAGCTAAAAAGTGAGCTTGATTTGAAATTTAATAATCAGATTTGCAGAGAGGGAAGATGAGCACACAAATAGGTGAATATCCTGATGACCCCCAACCAAATTATTGAAATTTTTAGCCTGCTATAAAGCTGAATTTGTAGTTAAAAATAGTCTAGTGCTCAATTTAGAATGGAAGGTTCTGAATAAAAAAAATTAGAATACACTTATTGACAAAAAAAACAAAAAAACAAAAAAAAAAACAAAACTCATTATGTCACCTGAATACCTACTGTAAGTAACAAGAGGATAGAATGGTGTTGCGTTCACACTATTCTGTGAGGAAATCGAAGCAAACCAATCTAAAAATTGGGATTAGAGTTACAAAGTGAACTCCGGTGAGTTTCGGTGCAAGACTGAGGGGGAAGAGTCAAGAGAGTGTTTCGACACCTTGCTGTCAGTTTCAACATTCTCCTTTTAGGTCTTGCACTAAAACTAGTTACAGCTTATTCAGTGACTTTAGATTATTTCTTCTTTGATTTCCCTGCAGAATAGTGTGGACCCAGCACTATCCTACCATCCAGTTAATCACTTACTGACATACTCTCATAATTAGGCAGAGACATAGAGACCCTCCATTGGTATGTTGGCAATGATGGAAGCTTTCACTAATGGGACTCCAACATTCAACTGTTGACCTACCTACTAGGTGGATGTTCATCAGTGTGTCGAGTATTTTGTTTTGCAAACAAATCAAAGTTTGGTAAACTTGTTTGGCTCATGATGTCACCCGAAACTCATCAATCATCTTATCTAGTAGGGAGGTCATGAGCCAAAAAACGGGTACAGTTGCTCCCTTAATTGAGGACCATGCCGGAAGAAGGGCGTATCTCGAGATACGCCCTTTTTTCAACATTCTGCTTTTCTGATTCTACGTCGAATAGTGAGAGTATCCTCCAAGTTTGAGAAAAATCTGTCGATTTGTTACGTGAATAATTGACCTGTAAAGTACATCGAAGATACGCCCTTCTTCCGGCCAACGAACTTTCTCCTTTTATTTACACATTTTGCCTTCCGTGATATGGATTTTTACCTGTTTTCTGGTGAAAGAAGTGTCACTTCCATTTTGTTCTCATTAGAAGGAATAGTTTTAGCCGAATAGAATGATTATTTATTCATTTTTATTTACTGTACATC